CCAACCCAGCCATCCTAACTCACTTCATGTAGCTCCTTTCTGTGGGAGTGGCCCTTGAAATCAGTGGAACTACTTGAGGAGCAGGGTTCTACTCAAGGGGAGTAAGGGTGGCACAATCCAGCCATCAGGTTATTTAGCTAGACCGCTCAAATGATAATTTTGACATATCCTTCCAATTTGTCATGACATTTCCCTGGGAATGGTTACACAGACAAATACCAAGTTTTAACGTGATGATGCAGACTTCATATGTATATTAAAAAAGGGTATTTGCTCGTGGTCTTCCAACACTGCTTGCCCTGGAGAGTGATAGCCTGTTTTCTTCTTACCCCTTCTCTTCTGCCTTTTGTGAACTACTGCTAGTGCGTAATAGAAATATTTTACCGTAATTCCACTAAGAAACTCACTATCAGTGGAAAAGAAGGATGTTCCAGCAGGTAGGGCACCAGCCTGGGTTCAATTCTTGGCTCTGCTAGAGACTCCCTGTGGGACCTTGGCACCTCTGAAGCCCTTTTAAAAAATTGGCATCACATTATCTCTCCTCCAGTCATTTGGTACAGAAGCTGATTTGAATGATAGGTTACGAAGTACAGTTAGTAGTTCTGCAATTTCACATTTGAGTTCCTTCAGAACTCTTGGGTGAATCCCATCTGGTCCTGGTGACTTATTACTGTTTAGTTTATCAATTTGTTCCAAAACCTCCTCTAATGACGCCTCAATCTGCGACTTTCCAAGGAAATAAAGGAACGTGGAGTGATCATCGCTAACAGTGATGGCCACCCGGCAAGGGACACGTGTTAGAACTCCAGTGAGCTGGGCATGCCTTTCCGAGAAAGACAAGCTTCCCCAGAGGGAGGAGAGGAACAAAGCTAGTCCTCTTGAATCCTGAACTAAGCTAATTTAACTAACAAGCAAACTACAGTATCTAAAACTAAACTAGCAATGAGGCGAAAAAAACGTTTAGACAAGGCATGCTCAAGGCAGACACTCTTAAGCACCATCTCAAGCCAACGTGGTCGAGAAGGAACTGAGGGTGTTTCACCTGAGCAGCCCTACATAACCTCGGTGCTTGGCACAAGGCGGCGTAGGGAGCATGAGAGGGCTGAATGGACACTGCTAATGGAAGTCTGCAATCGAAGGCGTGTGGGGCACACGTGCACCTAAAGTGGGGCATCCAGAGGGGGACATATCTCGGAAGAGAACCTGTGGAGGCTCTTCAGGAAGTTAGGCAAATTAGGCAGCAACACAGCAGTTCTTTGGGGAGTGCCAGCCCAAAAGCAGCTGGCACTCCCCAAAGAACTGGTAGCAAAGGCCCAGCATGGCTGACTCCATGAAGGAATCTCTTGCAGCATGGACTTCCTTAGTGGGGTCGCTGAGTCACCTGCTCACCCAGTACCTAGTGTGGCACATTTGTCTCCAATGCCTCAGAGGCACAGGGAGCCTGGTGCGATACCTTGGATTAGCAGTGACAACCTCTTTTCTCCCCCATTGGCTGCATCTCGGGAGCAATCTGTACATCGTCCCCTCCACCAATCACCTTTACCTGTGTCACCGACACCAGATGTGGGCCAGGTCAGTGTCCCTGCCCAGTCGCCCAAGTCACAGCACTTGATTGGCGAGGGTGTGATCTCTGGAGGCCTCAAAGTCACCCACTGAAAAGGCAGTGGAGAAATAAAGCAGGGGCACCGCCTCTCTCCTTCTCTGCTCTTTCCCATTTCATTTCCCTTTTCCTTCTGTCCCAGATTCGCTTATACGATCAATATCTAACCTACAACACTCACTTGTCTGGGGTTTCTTTTACTGATCTTTTCCTCCATCAGCAGAAGCCTCAGATGTTCTCCCTAGGCAGCCTCTCCAGTGCTGCCCTGGCACCGGAGAGGAACCTGGAAGAGAGACTAACAATTTGGGTGTGCCCTGATCATGCCTCCATTTCAGGCCACACAATCTGCTTCGCCATCTCCCTGCCCACTTTGCTCCTACACTACGCCAAACTCACAAAACACAAGAATCAGGTGTGCACATCGTTAGGCACCTTATGTGCCTTGACACCCCCTTTGAACATTAATTATGCACCCTGTTAAGTACTTACTTGGCCACTTAGCCAAGTCAGCTGCTCACCCTAATGGGCTTCAAAAATTGCAGCCAGGATGTTAAAACAAACAAAACCACGTCTCTCTGTGGAAACCTTTTAAGGTTATAAGTTGCTGATGTTCATACCCACAAAACATGTGCCCTTCAAACAACTCGTTAATGTGTGTCTATATTCTGGCACGCAGCAATTCTGTGCACAGACAGAATCACGTGCAATCTGCATAATGTGTGTGCACATAAAGATCATTGCTGGGTAAAGAGACACCCAAAAAACCTGAAGTCTTCCTCTTTTGACCCATTAGACCATTGCCAGTTTCACAGGAGAAGTCAGGATTGGTGAGAAAATGTCCAACCCACTGTCTCCAGGCTGAGCATAAGTTTCTAACAGGTGCCTACGTGAAGCACCTGCCCAAATGATTTAATCGTTCCGTGCCAGATTTTGCTCTCGTTACAAACGCATGAAGCCAAAGTAAGTTGATTCAAGCTGATGAATTTACTCTGAGCGGGACAATTGAGAGAGGAGAAATTGTAAACGTGTAGAAGAAAGAAGTAAAGATAATGCAAGGGAACTGGGCTTATTTAGTCTGGAGAAGAGAAGAGTGAGGGGGGATTTGATAGCAGCCTTCAACTACCTGAAGGGGGTTCCAAAGAGGATGGAGCTCGGCTGTTCTCAGTGGTGGCAGATGACAGAACAAGGAGCAATGGTCTCAAGTTGCAGTGGGGGAGGTCTAGGTTGGATATTAGGAAAAACTATTTCACTAGGAGGGTGGTGAAGCACTGGAATGGGTTACCTAGGGAGGTGGTGGAATCTCCATCCTGAAAGGTTTTTAAGGCCCATCTTAACAAAGCCCTGGCTGGGATGATTTAGTTGGGGTTGGTCCTGCTTTGAGCAGGGGATTGGACTAGATGACCTCCTGAGGTCTCTTCCAACCCTAATCTTCTATGAGTCTATGATTAACTAGACAGCTAGAGAGTTTAATGAAGTTGACCTTGAGAAAAAGGAAAACCAAAACAATATACCTTAAGGCAGTGGTCCCCAACCTTTTTCGTCTGGTGGGTGCCAGACGATGAGCCACGGAGGACCGTGGCGGCAGACAAGCATCCGCTGAAATGCCGCCGACAAGCAGCAACGTCAATAGGCGTCGCCGCCGAAATGCCGCCGACAAGCAGCTTCTCGGCGGCATTTCGGCAGATGCTCGTCTGCCGGCCAGTACGCGGGCGCACTTAGATGCCCTGGTGGGCGCCATGGCGCCCGTGGGCACCACGTTGGGGACCCCTGCCTTAAGGAATGCTCGCTTCAAAACCTAGAGGAAATGGATGGTAATGCACCTAAGGTCAGCTCCTTGCCAATACATCCTTGCTATTGTATTCATTGTACACTGGCACTTCTAATCAAGCAGGGCATGTCATACTAGAGGACTTAGGGTCCAGCTTAAAAAGGGGAAATGTGCATGTTGACCTATCTTACATATTTTGTTGTGAGCATTTCAATTCTTACTAATGACATTATATAAAAAAGAAAACCACGACACGCATCACCTGGAAAAAGTGAATACACATAACAAGGGAGCTCGATTTTCAAAAGACAAATGATGTCCCCAAATTAGCGCTTACACAGTTAGGCACTGTTTCCCCATGGGTGTCTAAATGCAGCTGAAATCTGGATCCACAATGTGCAGCACCTGAAACGAAAACCCTTCTGAGCAATGTTGAAAATGATCAGCACCAGTATTCCAAAACTCACAGTTAGAAGCTGCAAAGTCTTTCAAGAGCCATTGTCCTCTGAATCTATTTTATTTCCCTATCTCAAGAACAAATCTCCCCATCTGAAGACATCTTGTGCACGAGAAGATGAAAAAGAAAGCACAAAATATTAATCTGGCAGGTTGGAGCTGGGCATATTTCCTTTACCCATTTCATTCTTGTTTAAATGGTGATATACTACAAGTTCCACGAGAGTGAAGCCAGCTGAGTAGAACTGTATTAACGAGTCCTTATAACAAAATTGCAACTTCCATAGCAAGTAGAGTCTTGTTCCTCTTGTCCAGCAGTGCACATCGCTGGGCAAGAAGATGTCTGACTGACAAGTCTGGGAGTGTGGGGAGCTGCTATGTGATGTACTGGAAGATCAAGGTTGTCCAGATGAACACTTTCGTAGTCCATTTGAGCTTTACTCTTCTCAAAACGTCAGGAGCCCTTTGTCCTCTAAGATCTCAGGGACTGCTCTCATTCTCAATATTATTTTTCCAAAATCATCTGATCTTTATTCTCCTTAGATTTAATTATATCTTTTTTCACTCACCCATTTCCCAGTGCAAAGCCTTTGCCGCCTTTGTCCATTGTGGCAATAGAAGCATATATTGCATTTAACCCACTTGAGAGATCCGCAGTATTCATGTCAGCGCAGACCCAGACTATAGGCCATTGGGAAACCAGAAGTGGGCTAGACTGACTACTTGCCTTTGGCAGCACGTGAACTCCATTCTTTGCCTCAGAGCATTGAGAGACATAGTGTTGTCTTCCTCCATACAGAATGCCCTTCCCTGTTGAACAATCAAGGCTTGAAGTTACCATAAGCAGCTAAAAGAAGTCAGATCTCCACCCAAAAACAATAAAGCTGTAGTCCAACAACAGGGGAAGGATCTTCAGCCATGTCAATCCACTCAGATAAGTCCCCCAACAACCTTTATTAAAGCAACGAAGGCTTTTATCAAAATGAGTGAAGCCAGCCAGTTCTACAGGCGTGCCAGCTGTGTACCGGCTATTTGATTTCCATTGTCTCTGGTTATCAGTGGCACCTGCTAGTATTTTGTGGGCACTGGTAGTTCTTTCAACTAGGAACCTCCTGTAATTTACAGGAAAATCGGTAAGTATCCTATGTCAGATCTTCACAACGCTGTCTCCCTGGTTCAGACTTTGTACGGTGATTTCAACTTCCCGCACCTAAAATGGATAACCGATTTGTGAATTTAATCACACGATAGAACTGTAATGATGTAAACCGAGCCAAATCCTACTTGCCTAAGTCACATGAGCAGTCCCCATGAACTCAGTGCTGGTGGGCAGCTTCAGAATAATTTTACACGTTACCAATGCAGAAATAGAGGCACAGAGCAGTTCAGTGACTTGTCTAAGATCACGCAATAAGCGAGGGACAGACCAAGGAACAGATTCCTTAGCCCTCTGCTCTATCCACTCAGGCTAATATAACGTTCTTGCTTCCAGGTATTCTGAACAGTTTAGAAATTCACATAACAATTTTCATGCCCCAGAAAACACCATTTTCCATACCTCTTTCTTACATAGCAATAGATTAGAGCAATGATCCCACTCAGTAACATTCCAGCGCCAATTCCCATTGCAATATAGTGCTCATAAGAATTAAGCGCATACGAATTTAACGTCAAGTGTTCACATCTTTCTCCGTTGTAACCTGTCAGGCACCTAAAAAGAAAAAAAAAGAAAAGAAAAATCCCCAAGAGTGTTCAGAAAATCTTAACTTGAAACTGTAAGATACCTAATTACCTTTGATTCATTTTAAACACTTTGCAATTAAAATGGGGAAGGGAACTAAACTGGGGTGGGCAGATTCTCTTTTGCAGTTGGAACCCCGTCTGTCAGAAAGCTGCTGGATCCCGTGCGCTGCGAATTCCCCCTGACAGAGCGGGTGGTGAGAGAACAGTGCTCTGGTGATACCTACCTGTTGTAATGACCATTGGGCCCATAGACAGCCAAGAATAGCTCTAGAAAGCCCTGAAGTATGTCAGGGCCGGATTTGGTGCAGACCCACTCCCTGAATCCGGGAGCCCCTGCTAGCTCCTTTGTGGCCCCTGCCCAGCAGTCAAACAATGGGCACAGCTGTACATTTAACCCGTCGGCGTTAGATTTCAGCTCGATGCTGCAGTTCTGATAGCAGAATGTGTCAAAAGCAGCTTCCAAGCGCTTCATCTTCTGCTTTCGCTTTCTCCAGTAAGCTTTAATTACCAAGAGTATGATGTTGCCACAGCTCCATTTTCTTGTTAATAAAGAACCTGAACTTGCATGATGCCTAACTTTAAATATGGAGATATACCTATCTCATAGAACTGGAAGGGACCCCGAAAGGTCATTGAGTCCAGCCCCCTGCCTTCACTAGCAGAACCAAGTACTGATTTTGCCCCAGATCCCTAAATGGCCCCCTCAAGGATTGAACTCATAACCCTGGGTTTAGCAGGCCAATGCTCAAACTACTGAGCTACCCAGTGCATAGGTCGCACTGGCTTCTGTGGATCTACTCAGATGTTAAACTTATGCCCGCGTACAGATCAGATCGCAGGTTGGGATAAACGTTATGTGTAACATACACAGGAAAACAAATATAAACTCGTCTACTTCTCCAAGAGTGTCTATTTAAACATTCAGTGTATTTACCTGCATATGGGTTTCTTGAGTTCACTGTGAAAAGCACAAAGGCCATTAATACAATAACTTTTGTGTTCTTCAAGACAGGATTGCATAAGCTTCAGAGCAATAGGTTCCTCTGTGTAGTCTATTGGGAAAGACGTAGGGGAGGAGGAAAAGTTACATTTGAAGAAATAAAAGGGTCTGAAAACAGTAATCACGTCATTTTGAAAAGTACGCTCATTTACAAGAGAAAACCCCATGGCACACACGTTTAAGGTGATGTAAAATTTGCTGACCAATAGCGACACTGCCAACTAAAACAGAACGGAGACGCTGGACACCTTAGCATGGAGTTTTTCAAACACCAGTTTTAAATAAATGATTTCCTCTTAGTAAATGGGCAGAAGTTTAATGAATATGCTGGATTCATTCCAAGTTAATGTCAGCATAACACAGCCTGAAACCCAGCAGGATAGGAGCACAGGGGATTTGCAGGTTCAGGGAGCTGTAATTTACCTTGCTGTTAGCCACTGCTTCTGAATCTGGCCTAATGTGATTAATTTTTAATCAAAAGGACAAAACACCATTGCTTTAAGGCAGCTTGCCCGTAGTTTGTTCCCAACACTAGCAGCTAATTTTTTTACGTAAATGGCACAAATCAGGACCATTCTTCAGGATTGTGGATCGATCACTATTTGTTGCTAGAACGAGCCAGAGGCCAACAGTAATGGGTCGCGGGATGGAGGGGTGTGGTGGGGCAAAGGAAGGGAAGATGTCAAAGGCTTGCTGGTTGGAGGAAGTATTTGTTTGAACAGGTCTCCTGACTGCAGGAGTTATTGGTTGGGCGGAACGGCCAATCCATGCCTGTTATTTCGGGGAATTGTTTTAGACATAGCCGAGTGAGTTCCTACCTGAATATTTCACAACACCGGCTTTCAGTCGTGACCACAAGAAAAGCAAAAAAACATGCAGGACAAGAACAACACCGCTTCCAAGTAACTGAAGTCTGGTATTGGTCTTTTGTCGAGCGGAAAGCTTCCCTCGGAGTACGTGCTGAAACAACGCTCCAGCAGGGCGCTCATGTTCTCTACGTCGTTGGAGGTGCCGTCAGAGATGTAAGCCCAACGTCCTGCCCTGACCACTTGTGGTCACTGACGATCCCATGACACATTTCTCAAGAGTGACATTATTAATCCCCCATTTCCTGACCAAATTCCAATCGGAGTCATTCCATTCTGCCTTGCTACATTTCCCCGTGCTCTGAGCTGGGTGAGCTCTTCCTCTTCTCATCCTAGTCCAAACAGCTCTAGATGTCTCTTGTGTGCCAACGTATCGTAAACCACTTCTGTCTGCACTTCAGCGATGAGTCGAGTCATTCTGACATACAGAGGGCCTGATTCTGTCACCATTACTCAAGATGAGCAGCAGCTCCCTAAGGGAGTAGCCCCACTGCCATCCAAGATACCGTTCTGCTGAGAGGGACTGGAGATTGCATCAATCACGTACCTCTTTGAGACTGGATGCGAACTCACCCTTCAGTTCACAGGATGAGTTAATCAGAAGCCCCTCGACCGAAGACAAAAGGGGGTTGTGAACCCGCCCAGGAGTTTGGATTGAGCGGGCGGGGGGGAGCTTTGCTGAGGGAGAGAGCGTGGACCAGATGGCAGGCAGACACAGAGAGGCAGGCAGAGGCAAAAAGCAAGCCAGCCAAGCAGTAGCCAGAGAGTACAGTAGGGTTGCCACCCATCTGGGTTTTACCTGGACATCCTGGGTTTTGGCTTCGGTGTCCGGGTGCTACTTAGGATTGCCAGGTGCCCAGTTTTTGACCGGAAAGTCCGGTTGAAAAGGTGACCTGGCAGTGCCCGGTCAGATGTACCGACTGGACACCAAAAGTCCAGTTACCACAGGGAAGGAGGCGGCGCCAGGTCATTAACCCACACCAGCCCCTGCTCAGCTGGGGCAGGCAGGCTCGTTGTCAGGCTGCAGGAGCTCCCGTCCCCGCCCTGGAGCAAGGGGGGACCCAGCTGGGGAGGGAGGAAAGTGGAGATGATCCAGCGAGCGACAGGGGGAGGGAGGGAAAGGAGGGAGGAATGGGGGCGGGGCCTTGGGGGGAAGAGGGCAGGGCCTCAGGAGTCCTGTTACCAGCAATTAGAAAGGTGACAACCCTAGAGTACAGTGTGACCCTGGAAAAAGCTACAGAGTATTTTGGGGTCTGTTGGCTAAAGAGGCTTGGAGCTGTACGCTAAGAAGCCGCTTCCTGCTATTTAATGTTTTCGGCACTCACTCAGAGACATAGGACTTTGTACATTCTTTGTAAACAAAACTGCATCAGATAAATACCTGATATCACCCATTTCATCTCCCAGCTGAACATCCCCAGAGCTCCAAACTGCTGCTCAGGTCAAAAAGAGGCAAAGAGTACAACTCAACATGTGTATTGGCAGCAGCATCAAGCCTCAGGTTTGTTAAGTGCTTTGGTATTTTAGGGGACGAAAGGGCCCATAGACATTTATTCTTGAAATAAGTAGGTGGTTTATTCCTCCCTTTCAGGAAATGCTACTGGAGAGGGAAGAACCACCTTACTTTAAAATGAACTTTTTTAGGCGGTGAAGCCAAACTCTCTGTTGCTGTAACCACAGAAGTCAATGACTCTTGCTAGCAAAGAATTTGACCCTGTATCTACCAATCAGAGTAAAATGTCACACACTATGGGTACGTCTACACTACCCGCCGGATCGGCAGGTAGTGATCGATCTATCGGGGATCGATTTATCGCGTCTCGTCTAGACGTGATAAATCGATCCCCGAATGCGCTCCCCGTCGACTCCGGAACTCCACTGCTGCGAGAGGCGGAAGCGGAGTCGACGGGGGAGCGGCGGCCGTCGATCCTGCGCGGCGAGGATGCGAAGTACATCAATCTAAGTCGATCTAAGATACGTCGACTTCAGCTACGCTATTCTCGTAGCTGAAGTTGCGTATCTTAGATCGATTCCCCCCCCACCCCAGTGTAGACCAGGCTTATAAGCCATACCCATGTTAACAGAGGCTGGCCTAGCAATCAAGTGACAGTACAACAAAGCGGAGTCAGCTGAGGAGGGCCAGCCTGTGCAGACAATGCACTCAGAACCTGGATTGCGGGAGCATTTGGGTAGGTCTACACTGCAATTAGACACCCGGAACTGGCCCAGCCCACAAGCCCGAGTCAGCTGGCATGGGCCCGCTGCGGGTGGTGTAGACATACCCTTTCTGTCACTCCGTAGCAACTCTTGCGGCTGACTCAGAGGGTAGTGCACTTAAGACATGCGACTCCTTTGAGGAAAAAAGAGTATAAAAATCAAGCAAATTAAATTACTGTTGGGATTCCTTAATTAACGCTTAGAGAAGCAATGCTGCTAGACAGAGTAGTCAAAACTCTGCTCCGTGGGCTTGAGTAGGACGGTGAACCAGAGCGGTCTCCAGGCAGCCGAGACCTCGTTTCGGGGGAATCCGAGACAGACCAGAGGGCTGAAAAGAACAAATCTGGAAAGAAGAAGTCGTCTACAAAATTGGTAACCACCTTCTCTGTTTGCCAAGCAGGAACTACGTGAGGCTAGTGCAGGGCCTGTTTGTGTATGTTTGTGGAAGAGAGACTCATTAAGGGGAATAGGAGTACTTGTGGCATCTTAGAGACTAACAAATTTATTTGAGCATAAGCTTTCGTGGGTTACAGCTCACTTCATCGGATGCATGTGAAGTGGGCTGTAGCCCACGAAAGCTTATGCTCAAAGAAATTTGTTAGTCTCTAAGGTGCCACAAGTACTCCTGTTCTTTTTGCGGATACAGACTAACACGGCTGCTACTCTGAAACCTGTTAAGGGGAATGTAATGTATAGCTCTTAATGTCTAACACAGGAGTTATGTGCTTGATATAACCCTTTACCGCTTGTGTAATTCCTTCTCAACAAACTGCTGTGCATTGAAAATAATGACTGTGGACCTTTTTCACTGGTGTGACAGTAATCTGCTCTGCCAGGAGCCAGTAAAGATCCATTTCAGGGGTAGTAGCACCCCCTGTTGTCAACACTGGGGAGGTAGGATTATTCTGCTATATATTTCACTTAAAGCCATGGTATAATGGTTAAAATAAATTAAAAACATATCATTAAAATTTGCTAATCTACATAGAAAAAAGCACAAAATCTCCCGCTGTCAGAATAAAACTGTAATATTTTCACTCTGCACAAAAAAAACCTTCCTGGTTTTGTATGGAAGTACCATAGCAAGTTGCCAAAAGGTGGCAGCATTCCATTTTCATAGGATGAAAGTACAAAAGAGCTGTATCAGACCTCATTGTTATTCTAAATACATTTAAAACAGGAATGAAAACAGGCCTAGAAAATGTTTTGAGACAAAGCTTGGAGAGAAAAATCTTGTAATTCAAGGGCCCAGTCCTACAGTAATGTTTCACACACAAAGCCCCCGCTGACATCGTTGGAAGTTTTGTCTAACTAAGGGCTGCAAGCTCAGATCTCAAATCCAGACCCCAAAATTAAAAGTGCTAAATACTGTAACACTACAATTTAAGAGGAATTACATTCAAATGAATTATACAATCTGAAACAAAAAGAAAAACTTTTTTTCTAATCACATACGGAGACAATTCTACTAATTTAAATATCGTATTATCCACCTAGATACTAGATAAGCTGTTTAAAGAACACATAGTGATACTGACCTTTGCAAAGCATTTTGTGCTCTATCAATGAAAAGCATCATATAAGAGCCAGGTATTAGTTCCCATTTGCCCTTTAAGTCATGTGAAGAAAATATGCAGTATAAGCATGCATATAGATGGATATTTGTCACGTGCGAGTCATTCAAAGAGGTGAATTTGACCTGATCTGACATGAAATCAAAATAATGGATAACTGAAGGATTGGTCATGACAAAACTGACAAATTTTACAATTTGACGCAGAATGACAGAGCTGCTATAAAAGAAAAACTAAGTGTATATGTTATATAGTTACCATATGTACCAGCACACACACACACACACACACACACACACACACACACACACACACAC